GGTCTAATGGTTAAAGCGGTCTTACACAAGGTTCCACGCACGGGTTCGAATCCCAGTGGTCCACTTACACAAGAACCGCCATTTGTTTACCAGGGTTGACTCAGTGGTCTAATGGTCAGAGCTATCTTACACAAGGTTCCACGCACGGGTCCGAATCCCAGTGGTCCACTTACACAAGAACCGCCATTTGTTTACCAAACAGTTGACTAAGTGGTCCAATGGTCAGAGCTTCCTTACACAAGGTTCCACGCACGGGTTCGAATCCCAGTGGTCCACTTACACAAGAACCGCCATTTGTTTACCAAACAGCAACGTCTGGCGAGGGGTCCGTCCCCGGAGATCTCTACGCTCAATCCCAGTGATTAAGCTTCTAACAGCCTCAAGCCCATGTGATCCGGCCGGGTGCTAACGAGCTCAGCGCATATCTTTTAATCGCGGAACTAGACCATTCGGCGAGTCAACGTTGACTGATCAGATGGTCTAATTTTATCTAATAGCTCTCGGGTCGATACATCGAACAGAACATGTCCGGAGCACTACCTTTCCCGGCAGCAGGTACTTTTGGTCGACGGTGGACAAGCCACACCGACAACAGAATGCACACTACATGAAGGGTTGAGTGCTGTTGCACAGTTGTTGCACACGCGGTGATTCGCGGTTTCTAGTCGGTAGTGCACAGACTCTCCATTTCTGAATGAGCGCTCACCAACATGAACATCAACTTCAAAAGCCGACAGTCCCGCGGAATCTCGCGGCCGCTGTTTGTCTCGAGCAGGCCTCGTCGCCGGAGACTTGTTGTTGGCGTGGATCAGCTATACGACCTTTACTGCCCGAGATACCAGTCAGTTGAATATACACTGCTGTAGAAGCAGAAGGCACAAGGCAACGTTCTTGTCTTTTCGTCTTTTCACGCTTCTTCCGCCGCCCACGCAGGAACATCGAGCAACAGACCCATGTACTGCATGCTCGTACAGCGTAGTATTTCATAGGTGGTCCGAAGAGAGTGTGCCTTTGCTCAGGCGAAACGAAACGACAAATGGAACATGTGCGAGGTGCAACGATGCCCTTGAAACGGCACACGTACGTGCGAAGTGGTCACAGAGTGAGAACCTGGAACAGTTTCTGACGGTTACTATGCATGTGATACAGCAGTAGCGGCTACGGTTTAACACAAGATGTTTTACAGAAAGTCAGAGGTGAACTGGCTTGGCATGGCCAAAAGCGGTTTAGCAGAAAAATTGTCTTGTTTCTAATATTTCTGTTAAATCGAGCTTCTGGAGGCCGCGCCACGTAAGAGTGGTTCGTCCAGTGGGTGATCGGGTGGATTTTCTCTTGGATGCTGGAGCATCCGTGGGCTCGTGTTGTAGTTCCACAAGAGCTGCGAGTAGCAGCACATCAATAACAAGGCAACAAAACTACAGAGGTCTGACGCGTGGTTTGTTTCCCAACACTTTCTACTAAGAACGTGATTTAGTTCCCAACACTTTCTACCAAGAACGTACAACTGGTCCATGTTGCTCGCCAACCAACATATAAGGCGGTGTGTGGAGCTAGCCCAAGGGGCGGACGCTACCTGTTTGTGACATGAATGAAACGCTCTCCGTCAACTCTTACGGCACACACTGCGTTGTTGGGACGACTGGGTCCATGTTTCACGGCCTTTCGTTTTGGCTACGGTATAACATAATGTTAAACCGCTTCCTTCAATAAATACTTCGGTTTAACATAGTATTATGTTATACCGTAGCCAAAACGGTTTTAACATTAGTGCCGAATTAACGGAGGGATTTTGGCTTGTCACGACCCTATGTTAAACCGTAGCCGCTACCGTACATGTAGATCATGTCGCGCTGTTCCCGCCATACCCTTGTGTTGCCTACCCTGCAGCGTTGCGCCCTGTTTGTGATCGTCTCGCTCCGTTGAAGCATTTCGTCTTTTTGCACCCCGTGTACCCCGGTGGCGCACCCCGCTTGGTTCGGGGTGGAATCCCCCCCTCTCTCTGTTCGCGAGACCCCCTCTGCCTGATGCCCTTGAAACGACCGATGCTCCACCCAAACGGTAGGCGGGGCGATGGAAGCAGCGGCGGGGGGACCTGCCCAAGGGCACGGGTGAGGGTCGAGCGTGACCGTCGCACGCGGCTATTCGAGAGCATCCGCGGCAACCGGGAGAAGATCGGGCGAGCGATGAACAGTCTCCGCGATGCGATGGTGAGAGGAGCCAGACAGCACCGTTTTCTCGCGCGCCTCTGCGGAGCCTGTTGGGGCGTGTGCTACAGTACTGTAGATACGGATCTGCGAAGAGCTCCATCGTGCAGCTCCTTTCATTTCCCAGTGGGTCCCCGACCTGCACAAATTTCCTGGTGTGGTTGCGCCGGACGCCCCTAACACAACCGTCCGCTACTACTGTTATTTGTGTTTGCTGCTTTTCTGTCCGGGCCTGGTGTGCGGTGGCGGGGGGGCAAAAGTAGAGGACGGGCGATGAGGAGCTGGCCGAGAGACTGAAGGCCTTCATCATGCACCTCCGGAAGCGCGACCCCCAGTTCGCTACGCAGGACGCGATGGACGAAGCCCTGGAACAGGGACTGTTCTCCACGGCCGCCAAGGTATGTTTGTCATCGGCCGTGGAATCTTGTTGACCAATAAAAACGCGTCATATAGCGTCGACCTCGTGATAGCGGGTGCTTCCTTTGGGGCGAACTACAAGTAATTCGTAGTCGCAGAACGTTGTCCTGCCCTTCCAAGCTGTGCTAACTCTAATTACTCGCTGTCCGGGCCGTGGTGCCACCCCCCTTCTGCTGTCGTCCCGGTTCCAAACACGGGGCCCCGTCTGTCTCTTGCGTGCTGCCGACGCAACCGCGAAGCTCAAGCTTAAGCTGGAAGAAATCAACCAGAACCCGTTCCGACATAGCCTTTTGGACGTTTCGGCGGAGGACGGCGGCGGCGGCGGCGGGAGCAACAGCGATGGCGGGGACACATCGGAGGACATGAGCTGGGGTTTCGACCAGACCTTCTTCGGGGAGGAGGGGGACAACATCGACGACGACCCGGACGACTACGACGACATATGAGGACAGGACGCCGCCCGTCTACACGCAGAGGGAGGGCTCTTGCGGGCGGTGGCTGTTCCGATCAGCAGAGCTTTCTCGGTGTGGCTGTCGCAAGAAGAAAATAAGGTGTTCGTTAGACCTGAGTGGTTGTTTGCCTAGAAGGATAGAGCTGCTGGCGGCCGCCGTTTTTCAACACGTGCCCCCCCCCCGTCAAGAAAATCCATTTCCGGCTTAACAGCGAGATACTCCGCCACGTGCTCCTCGAAAAAAGCTATTATGCCGATAATAGTAAAGAGAATATTCGTAGAGCTGCTACCGCGCCCCCTCAAGAAAACGATTGCCGATATTCATCGAGACATGTTTCCGTCAGGACCGTTGCAGTTCTGGGAGTTTCCGGTGGAGCTTGACGGGGTGTGTTCGACACCTCGCAGGGTTTCGCCAAGTTTTTTTTTCGCTTTTCGAGGGGGGGGTGAGGGAGATAGAGATATAGCCAGAGGATGATTGGTGATAGACCGAGACCCTCCACGGTTTTTTCGGCGGGGACTGCCTTGGCGAGAATTTTATTTTATCCATCTATGACATATGCATATGAAATAGAGAGGTTTCTTATCTCTATCCCTGAAGCAACCCTAACCCCCATTCCACACCCGTAACCCCTACAAAAACCAAGCTTAAGCTTGATATCCTCGCGAAGGCTGCTGGGTTCGGCGGTCCACCCACCGGGTGGTCTCCTGTTGTGGAGCCTCCTGTAGACGGGACCCGTCATGGATTGTGGTGCAGTCTCGGCCCCTCTACAGGACTTGCGGCCGGTATATGTAATGGGCGGGGTGCCGCTACAGGGCTGGGTGAAATCTCTTGGCACGATACGGGTAGAACATTCGATGTTTTTTTGTTTGAGTAGGGCCGGTGGCCGCTGCAATGTATGGTGATGGGTGAAGCGGCCTGGCACATGCCCGCTTTATAGAGGGCCCACGACGAACGTGTGTAGTGGTGTCGGGGACGGCTTTCTGGTCGGTCCGTTTCGTTGTTCGCTCACGCCAAGAGCGAGCGCTACTTCGAACAAGAACGGGAGGGGGCTCGATCGTTCTGTCTCTCTGTGCCTGCCCGCGGTGTTTTTTCTTTTTTCTTTTTGATGTTCGTTCCTGCATTAGGCGGCATTATTTATGGCCGGTTATCCTGTATAAGGCCGGTGAAAGCGCGCGACACAGATGCAAGGAATCGTGACGGGTGCCGGGTACCCGACCGGCCAAATCCCTTGGCACTGCTGTGCGTCCATCTTAAAGGACCGCCACACGGTAGTCCACAGAGAGCTGTAGGAAATACATACATACTGTAGAGACTACCAATTCGAGATAAAACAACAGTCGAAGGGGATGTGTGTTGGAGTCTTTGCAGTGAATAGGAACGGAACCGGGTGAATAATGAGATTTATTGTGTCGAGACCGCCCCCAAATATGCTTGCTTGTCGAATTAGAGCGATGGCATGATGGTGGCGGGGTTTGATGCTTGTAGAGGCGCGGGGGGTTGGGGGTTTGACCAGATGCCCACGTCAGGGATGGAAAGGTCTTGTGTGTGTAGTAACGGCCGGTTAAGCAGATAGATGTCTCGGAGGCTCCCTCGAAGAACGGGTTGGTACTGTAGTCCCGTGCACGAAGACGTTGGAGTTATTGCGGTATCTTGTTGAACGGAGTGATGATGTGCCCGGCGCCCCGTGCTGTGAATATTGGACAAAGGCACCACCCATTTGTATGTATTCCGAGTGTATGATGACACCCCCCGGTTTCTAATGCCAAGCCTCAACAGCAGAGCATTCATTATTGTGTCGGCCTGCGCCGCGCCACAGCACTGTAACGCGCCGGATACAAACGCCGCTCAACGCGGGAAACGGTGCAACGTGCGTGTCACCCAGGTGCCCTCGCGGAAGCAAACAACAAGCGTGATTTCATCAATGGCGGCCAATGTAGGCGGCACGCACAGCGATGCAACTTCCTCTTGGCCCTTTCGTTGTGGAAAGAACGGCGGGCTGCCGTAGCAGCGGCATGACCAACGTGCACACGTGCACCGGAGAAGACACCGCATCTTCACCAACCGTTGTGCCGCAGCCTGAAGAAAAACACACGCACACTCAACACCCGGTAGCTTTGGTTGATGGTAGCTGTCATGTCGCAATAGTGCCGAAACACGCCGCCCTTCTCTCTTGACACGTGTTGGATTTACCTACCTAGTTAGTATACGGTGGCCGGCCACGCATCCGCCCGAAACTACTACTTTTGTACGTCGTGAGCGACCGCCGCCTAAATCGACTGCGTGCGCGCAGCAGATCGGATTTCCGCCGCTGTGCAACAACAAGAGCGAGATACTTGAAGCCCACCAACGTCAAGAGAGGGAGCGGCGGCTTTGTCGAGCACGGAACAACGCACGCACAGCAACAGCGTCGGGATCCAAGCAAGCAGAGGCTGTGACTAGTGACTAGCGCCCGAACCTTACTAAAATAAAATTGGGTTTTTAAGAAAGTAAGCTCGATTTTCCTAGAATTATACTCCAATCGTATATTTCAAGGAAATAGATTTTATTAGAGAAAACAGAGCAAAACTAAAATTATGACACCATCTTTAACAAATTTTTTATCCAGCTTAGTCGCTGGTGGTCTTGTTGTAGTATTACCTATTAGCTTAGCATTATTTTTTGTACTTGACGGCATGCGCACCAGGTCTCCCCCTGTTTTTCTCGTCCACACGTCTATCGCACTATTACTATGGAGCGGCACACACCCCTTTCGTCACAACAAAACGGCCCACCGGAAAAAAAAAAACGACCTATACAATCAACACCACAAAAAAAATAAAATAATAACGACAGGATCCAACACGAATTGGATTTGGACGCACAGACAAGGAAGCCAAATCTCGAAAGACACGATCGCACACAAAAAGGGGGGGAGGGGATTGTGAAAAGAGGCAATCTCCATCTTCCACGGCAGACGTTTTGAGGGATGAGACCCGTGTTAAGGGGCACTCCTTTCCACACAATCAATCATTGACGGTTTCATTCTTGCAACTTCCTGTGGGTGTGACGACACCGCGGGTGGTGCGTCCAGGAATTGTTCCGAAAAAGTGTAAAGCACCGACGCCCAGCACGAACGGGATGACAAAAAACAAACATAAAAATACAAAAAATACCTGTTTTTGTGCCGAGCAAGGATCTTGACTTGCACCGGAGGGGGCCCAATAGACAGGACAATAGCAGAGGGAACAGCGCGGACTAACGCCGACATCGGGAACACGCGCACCCGTTTATCGCGGTGGCGGTGCGGGCTTCGAAATGGCACACATTAATACGAGGGAACAGCGGGGGTTTGATGTCCCTCCTGCCACTCTCAGCAACACTTTCTTCCGTCTTTCCCCATCGAGGATAATCTTTTCACGCCCAAGAGTTTGCTATTACTCCCACAGCCCCATCACATGCCTCGACTAGACTAACGCACACCGTATCTAGCATCCTGTTGTCCACTAACAATGAAAAACATAATTTTCACACAAGTATTATTCCTTGACATTCTCGTAGTCCATCTCAGCATCTCAGCAGCCCTGCATCTCGGCAGAGCACCACAGCAGCACACACTCCAGACAAACCCCACACTACCCGCACTGCTGACTTCACCGCATCCTCACGAATATTTTCTTCGACCGCCAAAAAAAAAACAGGCCTTCAAAATTGTTAATTCTACAGCACGCATCTCAATCTCACTCGAAGTATCGCTGGCCAGACAGATCCCCCCGTCCTCTCTGGCACAACAAAGCCAAAACAGGAAGATTCTCACAACAATACTGCCACGTCTTCTTTTAATCGCTCGAGCTGTGGAGATAGAGCGCAAGCCTTGAAGAAAGGCACGACATCAATCAAGCAGCTTAAAAAAAAAAACACAAGTAGAAAAAAAAAAAAAGCAAGCTTGTCAAGCAGACTGCCAACCAAAGCGACCAATCTTGGGGTGGAAGACCACAAGCGGTAGATATAGATACCACGGGGACCCCAGCGGCATGAACACCTACACCAAGAAGAAACAGGGGGAACGCCGCGCCGACCGTACTCTCACGTAGCTTGCCTCGAGTATGGCGAGCTAAGGGAGGGGGCGTAAGAGCTCTGGCTCCCTTGGATCCCACTTGCACAGCAGTTTCTGATCACCTTCTGTACGTCCTGTTAATGTCCATGTCATCCCCCCGTCGTAAGGGATCTCCAGACATTTTATCTGCCTGGATCCATCGTCCCACACCTTGCTATATACTTCGTAGCAAGGTACACTGCATTTACTGTTCCCACCGTACGCGTGCGGTCTAGATGGCCCCGAGCATCAACAGGTGGATTCAACCGCTGCACTGCTGTATCCATCACCTCCAAATGGACAACAGACGGCTGTGATGATCCTGCTTTTTATCTCATCAAGGTCGACACCACTCGCTCCCTGTTGATCTATTTGCGCTCTTCCTGCACGACACGCAAAACCCGACCCCAATTTCGGCCAGAAAAAACAACATCAGAGAGCCCGGCACCCCCATCTTCGCCTCAGCGGTGGAGAACGGAAGCCCCTCGGACAAGAAATACTCCTCGTCTGCCTCCCCGCCCCCCCCTCCCCCTAATAAAAGCGTATTTCACGCAAACAGATATACTATATTAGCACCCCCCACGGCTGTTCACCATCATCATCATGCGGCGTGGTTGCCAGTAGACGTCATCTCCAAAACCCCCCGCCCCCCGCTCCCGCCCCCGCCGTCGACCCCATCCCCGAGTAGCGACCTCGTCGCCTCCTCGTCATCCCGGTTGGCACTCCTCCCTCTCTCGCGCAACCGACGACCACCATTACCGCTACCACCGCCGCTGCTGCTGCCCCCGGCGGCGGCGGCGGCGGCGGCCGCTTTCGTCCCGCCGATCGCGGACGGCGCCGACAGCTGGCTCCCCCCGTCCGGGTGCTTCCCGATCTTGCGGAGGAGGTTACCGTACGTGGCCTCCCAGGACATGCTCTCGGCGTCGAACGGCGGCCTGCCGAACGACGTCACCGCGATGGCTAGCCGCACAGTGCCGTGGAAGGCGTCTCTGGTGAGGACCATCACTGAGGCCAGGAGGAGGACGATCACCCCGAGGGCCTTGCTCCCCATGCCCCAGATGTCCTTGGTGTCGCCGGCGGCCGGCGGAGGGGAGTCCACGGCGCCGATGGTCCCCGTCCGCTCGAGATGGGTCACGAGGTTCACGGCCACCTAGTGCGCGAGCAGCAAATGAGGATGGGGGGGCGGGGGTACTCATGTTTTGCGTGCCGTAGACCATTGACCTCGCAAAGCCGGGACGGAGCACGCCGGGTTCTCACCGGACCAGCGGGAGGAGGGGCGCACTCCGGTTGGCATGCCTTAGCGATTAGACCACAAGTCCTCGAGAGGACGGATGGGGGGGGAGGGTGGATTGGCTGAACCCTGCTCCCTCACGGTTTATCGCTGGCTACCATCTTCTCTAATCTGACACCCCAAACGCAATCTCTTCAGGCGAGGAGACGACACCGTCGGTAGGTTGCACAAGATATCACACCCCCTGAACCGATTTTCAACGCTCGATTTCTCCACGACGACCAAATGGATGCAAGACACCACACCCCGTGAAACGATTTCCAAGCGTGATTACTAGAGAGGATAACCCCCCAAAACAATTACGCGAAACAGGGAGAAAAAACTCTCCACGGCGGCGTTGGCGCCGTTTCCGCTTAAGTGCCCGGGCTTTGAAAATCGTCGGTCCACGGTGTGTGGTATCTTACGCAACCTACGGTAGTACCGCGAGCCATGATAACGACGAAAAAAACATAAAAAAAAAACGCACGCACGTACCTGCGCAAAGGCGTCGTATGTGAGGTCGGAGTAGTGTACACCGTCGTAGGACTCCATCCTCTGCCCGGTGGTGAGCTTCACGCCTGCCGCGGGGGCCGCGTACATGCGCATGGAGTCAGTCGTGTGGGAGACACATCAGAGAGGTACGCATACGGAGTGAGGGGAGTGAGTGAGTGAGGGGGGTGAGTAAAAAAGAGTGAGTGAGAGAGAGAGGAGGGGGGGGGGGGGGTTCTTCTAGAGGTTGGAGGTATGCATCGCTTCAATTTTTCCCCACTTTCGTCATGTATATTGCTACGTTGTTCTTTGTTGGTGGGAAACGACCGCAGTGGACAGCAGCAGCTGGCGAGTGACAAGCGGACAACAGCTCTCGCCAGAGCCTCCCCTTACCGTCAATAACGCCATCCACGTCGTGGAAGATTCCGCTCGACTCCACGATGCCTCTGTATGCCGCGAGCTTCGGCTCCGTGAGCCACTCCCTCTTCTTGTCGTCCAACAAGCGCTCGTTGATCACCTTTGTCATGCTCACCCACATCTGCCGTTTGTTTTCGAGTAGAAATAGGGCGAAAGAAGGGGCGGGGCGTCAAGAAAAGGACAATTTTTAAAGTTATTTAATTGACACAAAAAAAAAAATGTCGTACGAGAAACTTGGCGGAGGTGGGGACTGACCAAGTACAGGTAGTTAACTTTTGCATCTGGTGCCAGTACGGGGCAATGCTGGCTGCGTGTTCTGTGTGCGTGGCTGTAGAGATATACAGAAGAGACAGACAGATACATAGACAGAGAGGGGGGGGGGGGGGGGGGGGGAAAAAATTTCCCTTTTAAAAAAAGGGAAAAAGGGAAAAGGGGAAAAAGGGAAAAGGGGACAAAGGGAAAAACAACAAAGAAAAAAAAAAAGAACCCGG